AGAGAGAGAGAGAGAGAGAGAGAGAGAGAGAGAGAGAGAGAGAGAGAGAGAGAGAGGTGCTTCGTTGGTTCGTTGGTTGGTTGGTTGGTTGGTTGGTGGAAGACCAAGTGAGAAAGACGAATTTTACACGCGGCCAAACGGAACGAGTTCATTCGCGAAGATGGAGGAGAAAATAAGGGATCTTGTTATTATGGCTCTTTTTAAATATTTAAAACCGTGTTTGTTCGTCAGAAGCAATTCAATTACTATCCTCCTCTTTTTCTTGCTTGCTTGCTTTCTTTCTTTTTTCCTTTGTCTTTTTTTTTTACTTTCTTTATGAAAAAAAAAATCTCGACTCAAATTATCGTAGTAAATTAAAATTTGTACCCACCGCTGCTGCTGCTGCTGCTGTTGCTGTTGCTGTTGCTGTTGCTGTTACTGCTGGCCAGTTAAAACTCAAATGACCAAACTCCACCCCTCCACATTTTTTATTTTTTACGATTTTTTTTTAATGTTTTTCATTTATTTTGCTATTTAAGTTTTTTTTTTCTTTCTTTTTTTATTTATTTCGTTTCAATTCTCAAAGAGAAATGTTTTTTTTTTGTTGGCGCGTTATTTACTTTCCAGAGCAGCTCGTCGTAAAATTGTTTTAAGTTGGCGATAGAAAAAAAAAAAAACAAAAAAACAAATATAGCAGAAAAGTAAAAGAAAAAGAAAAAGAAAAAGAGAGAAAGAAAAGATAAAAAGAAATGAAGAAAGTTTGTAGGGAATGTAAACCGGGATAAGAACGAGAGGAAGTTGATTTTACAAACGACGAGTAAGAAAAAAAAGGGGTAAAAAGAAAAAAAAACGCTGCGGAACGCGAAGGAACGTGATTCGAAGCCACAATATATAACTTATGGCTTTCTTTTAAGTTGACCTCTTTTCTTGTATATATATATATATATTTTTTTTTTTTCTATTCATTATATACACAGATTTATATAAAGGTATATATATATATATATATTTTTTTTTGTTAGGAAAAAAGAAGTAAAATGCATTCATCACGAGGATACTCGTAGTACTACTTTTCTATCATAAAACCAACAAATTTTTATATTCGCGTTTTCTTTTTATCTGAACAATTTCTTGATCGCGTATTTGTTTGTTTTTTTCTTTTTTTTTAACTAAATTTATTTAGACAAAAATATTCTAGAAAAACGAATTTGCGATTGAAATCAATCGAGAAATGAGAGAAGGGTTAAGATGTTGAGGATTGAATAAGAAGAACAACTTGTTCTCTCCCGTGTGAAGTATGAAAAATGTTAAGGAAAATCATGTCGGAGTATTGATATATATATATAAAAGTTGACGTATTGCTTTTTCGTAAGAGCATATCAAAGTGATATGGGTGGAAAGGTTTATTGAAAAGTTCATTAATCTTTAAAGGTAACACGGTCTGTGGTGTATTATTGTCGTGAACATCATCGACTTGCATCCCTGTTTCTTCTCGACAACGTCTTTACGTTTAAATAATTCAATGAATATATTCGCGTATGTATGTGTGTGTGTGTGTCGGATGTGTGTGATTATCGGATTCACCTGTAGAAGAAGTAGGTGCAGGTTATACTAAATTTCAAATAACTTTTCGATGATAGGCTTTAAAGAGGTCTCGGAAGAGAAGTCTACAGAATTTCTCATAGTATACCGTATACACGGATGAGTTGGCAAGATCCAAAGTGATTTATATGTTCAACTATGAGATTCAATGGTACCGACGCGTGGATGTTGTAATATTCAGGTGGACGATTTCAGTTAAATGCAGGAGGGTAGTAGCTTTTCTTGCACTGAGTGAATGAGTGAACTACAGAGAATGAGCTTGCTTTTTGCATATGCGTGTGTGTATACGTGCATTTGTATGGTAATATAAATGGGTATAAGGGAGCGGCGGTGCTATGTGTAAGTATATGGGTAGAAGGATGGTTCATGATCGAGCTTGGTACGGTTCTAGGATATGCTGGTGGCTCGAGTAATCAGGGTTTACGATTGACCGAACCGTAAAGCCTTATCCCTCTACACCCTTCAACCTATACCAGGATGATATGATAGCTTCAGAGACACACATTGACACTGGATCGTTGATCCTAGGAAAGCGTGCGTCAGTCATGCCTCTTCTCTCTCCCTCTCTCTCTCTCTCTCTCTCTCTCTTTCATGTGCACGCTGCGCAGCAAATTTCGCACAAATGTACCACCGTTAATTAGTCGGTATCACCAGGGCGTTCGTCACTTCTAAAGCCTCTCATCTCTCCACCCTCCTCCCTCCTCCTTTACTTTACTATGTAGTACATGGAGTACATACAACCGACACTTTGAAGATATTCTAAGCTTCGCAGCACGCCCGACACCTTTGCCGTTTGTCGGATTCATAATTCGCATAATCAGGAGGACTCGATGATGCTCAAAACGACTCGTTAAATTTGATGAATTATTTGTCCCAATTGTCCTTTCAAATTATTTTTCAAGAGTTAATAATAATCGATTAACGATCTTTCAATTAAACGATGTATATGTGTTTTAATTTTATTTCAATATCTTTCAGTAATATATCGAAAAAATGTTGGTTCAAATTGACAGCCATTTAATTTACGTGATAAGTTTTAAAAAAGAGAACAACAATAACAACAAAAAGAAATATTAACGATTCGTTTTAATATCTCGCGCGTATTTCGTTGTAATAAATTTTCATGGAAGTTTGTAAGTAGAGAAAAGACTAGTACACTTAGGGTTTCGGTAAGACTTTTCTAAATCTATTGAAGAAATTTCTACGAAGCTACAAAGTAAAGTAACGTCCTCTGAACGTTCTTTAGAACGCTTACCGGGATATAACTCGTGGAGTTTCACATTATGTGTTGCGGTTCGTATTAAGGGAAGAAATTTATAGGTCGAGTTTCCACCATAAACTTGGGCGATATCTTTGCCCAGAACGAAACAAAGAGAACGAGCAAGATGAAGATAGAAAGAGAGAGAGAGGGGGAGGTTGAGGGATTAAGGGTGAGAGTAGGACGAAAGCTACATTCGAAACTACATAGTTTACTTTCGTCGGCTTATTCTTCCAAAATGAGATCTGCTGCTGATTTTCTTGGTCTTTTCGATTCTTTTCTTGAATATTTTCCTTTTCATATATATATATATATATATGTTTGTTTCTTTTTTATTGTTATTTCTACTCTTCCTTCCATGACTTTTAACAGTCGCTCGTTCTTTGTCTCTGTTGTACTGCGTATTTCGAAGTGTCAGGTCGGTGGCTCGATGCAAAAATGAGGAAAAGAGATGAAACTAAAAGCTTGGGGAACGAAGGTTTTATATATATATATATATATATATATCAATTTTGACAGTATAAATTTATCACAGATATTATAATGTGATCTAATAATTTTTCTTTTTTGTTTGTTTNTATATATATATATATATATATATATATATCTTTCTTTATTTCTTTCTTTTTATTTCACTCGAAGATTTCGAACGTAGGAGGGTCTTGTAAAAGAAAAAAGAAAAATTTTTTTTCTCGACTATTTGCGGCCAAGGCAGAAACTAAGCTGTCCTCCCCATTCACTCGTACCTCCTCTTCTTCTTCCTTTTCGTAGTAATAGTAGTAGTAGTAGTAGTAGTAGTAGTAGTAGTAGTTGAGGGAAGAAGCTTAAATGCTTTTTGTACGTCGTTTCTCTCGAATCTGACTCTAAACGTGTTGAAACTTTTTAACGAGCTCGTTAAGGAGAGACCAACCATGGGAATGGGGAAAAATTAATTCTCATCGAAAGAACGGACGCGATACAATACGAATACAGATGATATCTCTCTTTCTTTCTCTTTTTCTTTCTACTTTCTACTTGCCCTCCCCCTCTACTTATCTTCGTCAGTCTTTTGTGGTCTCACTCAGTTTCGTTTCTTTTATTTTTCTGATACACAAGCTTCTTCTTCTTTTTTTTTTTTTTTGAGCTTTTTGCGATCATTATACCATTCCACCCACCACCTTTCTTTCTCTATCTTCAATGTTTGATTTTTTTTTCTTCACAACAATCCTCCGTAGAAACTTTCTATCTAAATATTTCTTTTTTTTTTTTTTTTTAACTTATTGGTAATAAGCATCAGGGTAAAACTGTAGTTGTCCATATTTTTATTTTTTCTTTCAAATCTTTCGCAGAAAATAATGATAACTTACCGTTCATACGTTTGTGCTCGTTCATTGGTGGTAAAATGTTTCTTTTCAAACGTCACTCGCGAATAGTTTAGAGATTTATTTTCAAACAGGGAGAAGAAAGGAATTTTTGCAAGAATGAAGAAACTCACAAAAAACATGATAGTGTAATTTTACAACGGCGTAGCTTAGCTCGCCGTTGATTTATTTTCCGGGTACCAGTAACTCTTTTGAAAGTTTAGGATATTAGACACGAGGCTCAGACTCCGTTGGTCGTTTTTTTCGTTTTTATTTCTATCTTTTTTTTACTCTTCTTTTCTTTTCTTTTCTTTTTCGCTAACAGCGGAAATCACCGTTTAGCTTGCCAGTTCGCAAACATAATTCTTTCAAATTTTAATATAAACGTCTTTGAACTCGCAGATGGTTGTTAGGATTAACGAGTGTCTAATGTAAATGCGCAAAGAAGAAGAAGAAGACTCTTTAAACAATACAATTATTGCTCACACAAAATCATTTGAAACATTATTTTTGTTGTAAGTTTTATGTTATAAACAACAAATTGTGTGGATATTCTAGTGTTATTTTCTTGTAAGTTTTATTACATTTCTCAAAGATAATCCTGAATACCCTTAACTTATTGTTAGTAGTAATATATTCAAACTATTTATTTCCACGTTTATTCACACCCATCGAAAACCCAACGAAATTACTTTTCGACCACCCTGACTATATACCATATAATTCATAAAAATGTCATAATCATATTCCGAGGAATTTTTTTGAAATAATTCATCACCATAACAAAGAGATTGTTGATTGCAAATGATGGTGCGAGTAATAATTGTATCATTTATAATCTAATATTATTATTATTAGATATACATATGCACATGGTATGTGTGCAATGTATGCACACATTTGTATTTGTGTGTATGTGTGTATTGTTGATGTATAGATATTTCTATAGGAAATGTTCATTTTGGAAATAGCATCAAACGACGTTAGTTGTGTATACACACATACACACACTCACACACGCATAAATACATACACATTCCCCCTCCCACACACATACACACACATTTATACCAAATACGTAGAAACGCTTTCGTTCTCGCGTTTTCAAGCGAGAGAGAAAAGAGTAGCAAACGCTCGTAAATTTGGAAAAGTACAAGGTGCGCGTTTGTTCGTGTGATATGCGTTTGGCAAGGATCCCAGGATCATCGGAGTCTAGCTAGCCTCGTCGTACGCGTGTTTGGCCATTTACAAAGTTAGGCTATCAACTCGGCCATCTTGATCTGCGACGATAGAGCGATAAATCATGAAGAAAGACGGTATTAAAACAGCGTGATTGCTTTTTTTTGTTTGTTTGTTTGTTTGCAGTAAAAAAGATGGTGCGGTTCCCTATAAAAAAAATCTAATCGGCACATTCTTCGCTTATGTCACTTTCGTTGATAACTTTCTCACATCTTTTATCTCTCTTTATCTTTTTGTTGTTGTTGTTGTTGTTACTTATTCAATCAAAGTTCCAAGGTATGCAATCATTATACCTCGCGCTTCGTATCAACTTGGCCGATTTGATTTAACAATGATTTCAATTTTCCTTACAATTCCCTCTCACTCCCCCTTTTTCATTTAGTCCAATCTTCAGGTACCGCATATGTACAAGTTTGTTCGTAATGTGCGTGTGTTGTTGTTAGTTGTCGTTTGTTTGTACCGCGTAGCCTTGCTTGTTCCACTTTCTCTAATGGAACAATGATACGTCTGAACAGTCACCGCGCCAACTACTCACCCACTCGTCCCGTCTTTATCATCTTTCGATTCCTAGTTTATATGTATGTATATGTATATATGTATGATGATTATTGACTAGAATAGTTTTCTTTTTTGGTTCCAGCTTTTCGACAAGGAAAAAATCGCTGAGTACAAATGAAACATCGATGTGTGTGTGTCTCTCCGTGTATATTCGACGACTAGATCGTTTAAACATTTATACAAACGCGTTTTATTTATTTTTTTTTTTTATGTTGTTTGGTCTTAAATTATCACGGTGTTTCTTGTTTTTCTTTTTATTCTTTTTTTACGAGTGTAACTTTGTAGTAGCACGCACGCGCGTCGCGTTATAAATCGAACGTTCGTCTTTAAAGTCCCCTCGATCGTTTTCCATTTTTTTTTTCTTTTCGTAGGAAGATTTTTAATATATTTCTATTATTTCTTGTTTTTTCTTGTTTATTAATTATTATTATTATTATTATTATTATTTTATTTTATTTTTTTTTCTTTAAACATCGACCTCCTTCTCTCGTAAATAAGTACAAGTGTTGGTTTTTTTTTTTTTTTTTATAAGGCGCGACTTTTTTTTACTCGCTAAAGTCGCCACCTGGCAGAATTGAGCTCGATTTCTTTTTTTTTCTTTTTTTTGTGTGCTTTCATTCATTTCGTTTTTATTATTTCGTCTCTATCTACCTTACGTTGTATAAAGATTTAAGAAAGACGCAACATTTGCGCGAATCTTGCGATATATATTTAAAAAAATGGAAAAACAATTTCGTTTCGCAATAATTTTTCATTCCTTTTTTCCGTAATTTCCTTCCAAAAATTCTTCCTCATCTTTCTCATTTTAAGTGAAAGGGAGAAAGAAAAAAAAGAAAAAGTCTATAAAGTACTCGTGCGTGTTTAATATTTCTCGTTAAGGGTTTTCTTAAGGTACCGCCAATCTTCTAACGTTGTAACGACAATGATTACGTCCAAGGATGTCCTCGGATGGAATTTCTTCCTCGAGTGGTTCCATTCCGGCGGCAGCCATTCTGTCACGCACCTGTGAACAAACCATACGTGAAACTTGTTAGGTGTTTGCTTCGACGTGTTTTGATCTGTTGTTTGGATACTTCACTTAATTCTAGTAGTATAACCAAACGTATAATAAAAACATCGTCAATGAAAGATAGAAATTCTTTTTCTTAATTCTTATCACTCACATATTTTCATCTTACTTATAATCACACACACATATATATATATATATTTTTTTTTTCACAAAAGATGGATAATATTATTCTCGAATAATAAACTTGTAAAACGTGACGAAAACAATACGATATACGAGAACGTTGGTAAATTACACGAGAGGGACTTTCTTCGAAAGAAAATTTCTAACTACTTTTTATGTATATGTGTCTAGCAGATGTGTGTATATGTAATGGTGATAATAATAATAATACGTACGAAAGTATCATCGTGTCAGCGAGTGAGAAAAAGAGAGAGAGAGAAAGAGGGAGAGATAGAACTCGATCATCTTTCTTGTAGCAGCCTCAATTTGGCACTTATGGACGCAAAACTCGTTCGGTACACATACTCATGAATACCTATACATGCGTATACGTATGTGTATATGTATATTACCACCTAACAGAGTGTAGTATGTGTTGTGTGTGTTTCGTAGTTAGGAATACTAACGAGAAAAATTGCGCCCGACGATTGCACGGTTTTAGCGAAGAGTAAAAGGATGAATAGAAGTGGGACAAAAAAGAGAAAAAATGAGAAAAAGAGAGAGAGAGAGACAGAGAGAGAAAAATGTTATATCGAAGGATACAAAATGTAAAAGTTACGTATACGTATAAGTGTATAATACGTGTATGAACATGAATATTTGGATATGAGTTAGTGAAAGGTGAACGAAAGAGTGAGAGAAAAATAGAGAAAGAGAGAAAGAGAGAGAGAGACAGAGACAGAAAAAGGTTTGCTTGGGTACTCTGCGTATTTCATGGGAGACTGCACAAAACCCATCAATTTTCTCTAAGTCCATTAACTTTCTATAGGCATTACCGTCTACCATAGACTTTCATCCATGAACGAATAATAACCGATATTCTCATATCGGAATTCCCTTTTTTTTTTTTTATTTTTATTCTTCCTGCTCTGTCTCTCTCTCTCTCTCACTCTCTCTCGCACTGTTTTTTTTTTATTTAAAATTTTCCGTTACCTTTAGTTCGATTTCGACATATTCGACTCGCATCAAAGTTTGCGGATAAAACCGCGAAACGTTTGCTTTTATTATTGCCAATTTTTCTCGTTCGACAGAAAAATACAAGCAGAATGAATCGGTCTCGTTCGCACGATTTTCTTATTTCTTTTTAGCGAGAGGTTGAATAGCAGGAGGTTGATTTTTTGAGTTGTTTTTTTTTGTTCGGGTAAATCTTAATCAAATTCACGGTGAAAAAAAAATACTCGGATGATCTCACACGTATAGTTTTATCCGGTAAACACACAACCCCTCTTTTTTTTTTTTTATCACCTCGTGAATACTCTCTCTCTCTCTCTATCTCTCTCGTTCATCTATCCCGTTTTTATTTTTCACCGTTGGTTTGGAAACTGAAGCCTCTTTTTTTATATTTTTCTTATTTTTTTTTTCTTTCTTTTTTGTATGAAATGCTTGCAGCAACTCCAGGGAACCGTGAGAAATTATGAAAGAGGATTGTTAAATGTCGGTGGATAAAAAAAAAAAAATTCTTTTACTGTCTTTGATGGAAACACTAGGATTAACATTTTTCTTTTCTTATTTGTTCATTTTTTATTTTTTTTTAGTATTAAAATTTCTTGTTCGACTTCACAATGAAAGAAAGAAAGAAGAAGAAGAAGAAGAAGAAGAAGAATAGAAAATTTTGGCAAATTAACCTTGGCGAAGGAATACAACAATCTACATAATAAGACATTAGCATGATCATACTCGTACCCGATTCATTTTCAAAACTATAATAGTACACTTTAGTACTCGTTTGTAGGGAAATTTTCAAGAGAACGAGTGAATAGGGGATGGGTAAGGAAGAAGTGGTCTTACGAAACAGGCTCAAAGTGTCTTCAAATTTCACTTGCATTCTCTCGTTCCCTTTCTTGGGTTTCCATGGGTCATGGCAAGACTTCTTAAGTACATAAAAGGAAGGAGGATGTAAAGGAGTGGCTAAAGGAATGTCGGAATTGAATTTCAGAGGTACGTAATCGCCAGCAATTTGTTCGGGAAGCGATAGGCGTGACTATTATTTCACCAATTACGAGACTTTGCGTTTAGCCCTTAATGAACACCCTTTTCTTTAGTCTTTCGTCTTATATTATTATTATTATTATTATTATTATTATTATTATTATTAGTAGTAGTAGTTTTTACACCTGTACAATAAAAGTAATATTGCTGTACTTTTGCATATAGGATTGTACATTTGAATATTTTTGTTGTTATTACGCATCGTTATCGCGTTTGAATGAAAATTCATTTTTAATTCAGTAAGACGATCTTAATGAAATATTAATTTTCTAACAAATTTTTACATAGTTAGGTAAGCAGAAAAACTGTGTATGTGTATATTCGAAGAAATTTACTTATGGATTGTGCCTTGTAATTATGGGTGAACTTGATTTTATGGTATATTTTAATTTTACAATTATTTATGTCATCAAATAAATCATAAATTAAATGTTTATATTGACTTATTATATTATCAAAATTACTATGATAATTATCCAAGTAAAGTCAATTTGAATTTTTTTTTTCATTTCAATCATTAAACATTAATATTTTACAAAAAAAATATTTCAAGTTAATAGAATATTAGTTAGAAACATACTGGGTTCCACTTTAATTCCTGCTTTTTTTTTTTTTTACAGCTTTTAACCATCGAAATGCAATGATTGTTACGTTCAAAGTTAATCGTCGTAAAATGTGAAATATGACAAACGATGTTAAGGTGAAATAGCACTCGTCTTCCGATTTAATAAACGGCCGTTGCTCCAGACAAATTACAACCGCAATTTCGTGGCTAGCAGCGTACACCACAATTAAATTATTGTTGTAATTTCCAGTACAGTCATCTACAAGCGTGTAAGACCCGTTATATAATGTTTCGTTAACACAACATTGTCTCAATTTAAATGCTTTTTTTTTTTTTTTAACTTTCTTTCTTTTTATGATCAAATCTCAATCGTCTTACATAAATATATTGAAATACACAACATTTTTAAATGAAAAATTTCAAATGGAAGGTTAGGTGTTGGTTGAACGAATCGAAAGAAACGTATCACGTATGCATTGTGCATAAAGTAGGTTGGAATTTCGTTAAAACCATCCAAAGCGTGCTCCAGTCTCTTGAAATGGGCGTCGCTCTGGTGATTTTATATATAGAACAGTCATGTGTTACACCCTACCAAGACATACCTACTTTGTACATATATGTATCTGTATATATATATATATATAATATAGGTAGAAAATATAGAAGGATGGAGAACGTGGGTGGTTGGAGGATCGAGCCAGCTGGTTCTAGGATTGGCAGAACTCCAAGAGAGTAAAAATCGTCGATGTTCCTATATACCTATTTCAACCTTTTCTTCCTACCCTTCCTATTTTTGTAACCTCGTAGCACACTCATGCAACTCTGGATGCATGATTTGTTTGCTTTATTAAATTCGATATTGGTTGAGTCGGTTAACCAGTCTTTCTTTCTTTTCTTTTCTCTTTTTTTTTTTTTCAAAGTATATATATATATATATAAATTGTTATATAACACATGACAAATATATGTATCTGAAAAACATTTATTTTCTAAAGGCAAATAATAATAATAATAATAATAATAAAATGAAATAGACAGATACAAATTTATATATATTTATATAGAAGATAAATATTTGTGTCTCCTTTGACAACTTGGAAATAATTTATTAGATAGAAAAATAAGATTGTGGAGGAAGCTTGTTAAAAAATATCGCCTTTGGCAATATCTTCTACGTCGCGTTTCAAAGTAGGTATATTATAAAGTCAAAGGATGTTCGATAAATGAGATAAAATAAAGAAGGGAGGAAGAAAGAAAGAAAGAAGAAAGATGTCTCTCACCTGTTCCACCGCCTTGAAGACCCGGATGAGATTCAGGCCAGCGAGTTTCTGGATATCTCTCTCTGACCAACCTCTCGCTAACAATTCTGCGAATAACTCCGGATATTTGCTCACGTCTTCGAGACCTGCTGGTGTCCTGAAACAGACAGTTCGAAATTGGTTAAGGATAGATCGGCTAAGTAAGTCTGTTATATACTTTTAATAATCCCTTCATTCAACTTATATCTTTAAACGACTTTTAAGAAACACGAAAATATTATATTTCGTATTAAACGAAATAAATAAAAGACATAGTAAAGAGATATTACGGATAGGAAAATTCTTACTTTTTCTCTCTTCGCTCATTATTCGGACGTTACACTTTTGTACTGTTACCTTGGTCATTTTTTTCTTTTTTTTCTTTTTCGTTTCGCGTATTAAAATCAGTACACGAGTTTTGTTAAAAAAAAAAAAAAAAAAAAAAGAATATTTTTCTTCCAACGAACGAACGAACGAACAAATTAGAGCAAATTTACATTTGTTTTCGAGTCGATTTTCTGATTCACCTCAAAAAGGAAAATATATCTAAATATGTACACATGAGGATGCAAGAACCGAAAAAAATGAAAAGAAATGTGTAACAGTACTCTTCAGAACGTAGGTACTCAACGTTTCCAATTTACAATTAACGTTCGCTTGAAAAAAAGAAAAACAAAAGAATCGAACTATCGTGTAATAACTCTTATCGATACTTCATATCTATTACATATATACACATTTGTACATAAAAATACAAGGAGAAACGAAGAAAAGAAGAGGGAAGAAGATAAAATTGAAAAAAACTCGTGATGAAATCTTGTCTGACGATGATACGACGAGGGTCTCTTGGACGATGTGATTTTCGATCCTCCTCCTCATTACGGGTGTCACAGTCGTCGGGGAGGGTTACGTTGTTAGAGAAACGGATAGGAAAGGGATGTGTGGGTGGTTGGGGCTACGAAAACGAGGGTTTGAGAGATCCGTTGAAAGCCAGCCGGCTGACAATGTCGAAGCAGCAAGAGTGGTTAGGGACTTATTCATGGCGCATCGTGTCGTGGCTGAAACTGGCAGTTATGCGACTCTGCACCAACACCAGCACCAGTACCAGAACCAGAACCACCACTAACAGCAACAGCAACAGCAACAGCAACAGCAGAAGCAGCAGCCATGTACATCGACTGTTTCTGCCACATGAGAGTTGACTTTTCCTGAGAGTCGAATTTCGAAATTGCAATTGGACGTAGAACACATACTGCAACTTCATTCCATTTGCCCAGTCATTCTTTTTTTTGTACTCCATTTTTTTTTTTACTCGGTGGTCCCCATTCTCATTCGAATGTCGATTCCTTTATATTTTCTATTTTCTCTCCACGAGTTTCTTCCAATCTTTCATTTTTTCTCGCAATCGTAAATTTGTCTTTTTACCAATCATGAGCTAGCGTAGTTATATAAGAATATTCGGCGATGAGAGAAAGAAAGAAGGAATACGTTGTTTTAATTCCTGAATTTTCAATTCAACAACACACCTTTTTCGTCGATTTATTTCGCGGCATACCGAGTGCCGTACCACGCGCTATGCAAATAGTTCTTTTGACAGTGATTTACGTTAGGAAAAAGTCAAGATTCGAACAGGATATTGGTGAGAAAACATAGTGCGAGAGAGTTGGAGAGAGAGAAAAGAAGAACTTTGAATAGACCAGGATTGCATTCCATCACCATACACACACACACACACACTCTCTTTCTCACTTTTTTTATTTTTATCACTTCAAGGGATTCAAGAACGATAGTCAAGTTCAGAAAATACGTTTTAAACTAGGAGACGGCATTTTGTCGCTTATCAAAACGTCGATTTTCTTCGTAAATGTACAAAATCGAGAACTGAATTTGAGAGAGAGAGAGAGAGAGAGAGAGAGAGAGAGAAATTTATTTTCATGATCGAAATAGAAGGATTTTCTTGATGCTCTTAACCACCGAGAAGCTTTGTTCGTGATAACGCGTGGAACGTGTCAGCCATGGAATAGGCCATCGAGTAAATGCGGGTTAACGACGCAATTAACGCTAATCATTACAGTTATTGTGGCGAATCGGGGTTAGCATAGAGGGTCTACCGAGTACTCACGTTTTAAGCGTAAGCGAGCCGAATAGGATGCGGTTGAGGCCTTTCTCTCTATCTTTCTCTCTTCCTTCCTTTCTTCCTTTCTCCCTTTATTTCTTCCTATACCTATGCTAATATGAATTTTAATCTCACGTAAAAGCTTATTGGCCAACCCCTAGCCTCTGTAATATCACCTTTCCTTCTTTTGATCCTTTACCACTCTTTTCTTTTTTCCTTTTTATATTTTCTTTTCTTTTTTTTTTTGTACATTTAATTTTTTTTCTCTTTCTTCCTTCCTTTTTTCCTTCCTCTTTCTAATAGGTGACCCAATTTCCTTGTTCCAAATAATTAAATGCAACAACCCTTTTTATGCTTCTCAAGTAAATTTCATCGTTTCAATGGTTACAATGGTCAATAAAAATTCTTTCCTTACGAAATATTATTCATTGTAAATATATTCGTTCGATTCGAGTTGCATTCGAGTAACTATTTTAATCGATTGTAATACAATTTTTCTTTACGATTTGAATATATGTTTTACGAGAATATACTTTGTATTATTGCTATACTACTACTACTACTTGTTATTATTCTTGCTATTAAAAGTTAGCATCATGGTATTCACGCTTGGTGGAAGGTTTCTCCCTGAGCCATGTGTTTCATTTTAAGGGAGGAAAAATGTCAGAACCAATATTAAAGTTCTATTCCTTTCGTGAAAGAGAACGAGATGAGATACGCCAAGCTACGCATTGTTTTTGTCCTCGTAGCAAAATCTTCATTGATATTCCTATGGGATGTTTTCTCGCCATGAAATATCTCTCTTCCTTTATTTTTTTTTTATTTTTTCTTTTTTCCCTCTCTCTCTCTCTCTCTTTTTCTCTCTCTCGTTTCTATCCGATATGATTATCATCACCTTTCTCTTATTTTCTCAAGATTGACAGTGTCGATAATCCCGTCTCTCGAATTTTATGAAAGCTCATACGTGTACGCGTTTTTCAAGATAAAAATATATATATATAAAAAAAGAAGAAATTATTGTTCGCGTTTAAAAAAAAAAAAAAAAATAAGATAGTAAGATAAACAAGAACGTTCGTCGGCTTAAAAATTATCGAATAAGAAAAGTAAGTTTCGTTATCGTAGGAAATTAACGACTCGAAGACTATGATCGTACATTTAAAATCGATAAATCTACATTTTTTCGAACAAATTTAATGGAGATAAAACGATGAGTGCATTTTTCTTTCGTTGGAACGAATTTTTCTCATGTTTACTTTTCTTTTTTTCTTTTTTTATGCGTCGTTTCGTTCGAAATTGCATTTAATCGTTAACAATGAGTCGTAAATTGTAAAAAAGAAAATGACCGATTTTACTTTATCGGAGTTGTTATCAAACTGACATGAGTAGATGATAAAAGCAATAGACTTTCTTCTTTAAAATGAGAATCTCTGTGACTTTTGTTTGCGATGAGATATCTTCACAGTTTGCAAATATTTTCATTCATATTTCGTATACTATTTTATAGTATACACCTGTTGGTAAAAGTAAATAGTGGTGGTAATTTTGTGGTGACTGTAGTTGAGACAAGAACAAAAAATGATTTTCGTCGCGTGACCAACATAAATTTTCTTGGAATTTATTTAGGTCAGTTTTCCTTCTGAATTTAAAAAATATATAGGTTAGAGTACTATGTCGATGTAAACACCTTTTGTTCACTTATACAATATTTCTCGAACTGAGAGAGTCGTATATGAACGTCAAAGAAGAATCATTTTTTGAAAGAGGTAAAAATTATTTGAAAAATTTCCTACAATATAGTTTTGTTTGGTCTCCCCCAGTCTAGATATATTTATCCCGAATTTTTCTGCAATAGATTCGGGATAATATGAAACGTGAATAAAAGGATTATTCTTAAAAAAAAAAAAAATGTAAAAAAGTTAAATAATGTTATTCATAATTACCGGATGTACATAAAAATAACATTAAAATGTGATGAGAAGAATAATGTGAAGACCGCAACAACGATTTCATACACGTTTTAAAACTTTATCGGATATTTAGTTTTATCTCCAAAAGGAACATTTGTCCCGTTGACCGTAAATAACGCGTCCAATAAAGTTGCCACTGAACCAATCGTGGTCGTCATCCTTTTCAAAGTATGTATATCCCTCCATTCGCGTAGGTCGCTTGTTGTTGTTGTTGTTGTTGTTGTTGTTGATATTCTTTTTTTAATTCCTCTTTTTTTATCTATGAAAAAGATAGAGAAATTCAACCGATGTACAAAAGCCAAATACATCAAAGTGAAATCCATCTATATGCTTGTGAGAGAATAGTCGTTTAACATCGTGTACATGCTTTGTAATACTTCTCTCTCTCTCTCTCTCTCCCTCTTTCTCTCTTCATATATATATATATATATTATAAAGCTTTTGAAAGCTTGTTCGTTTATTCTTTTAAAAAATGCGTTTAAACCATGAATACAACCGCTACCATCACCATCACCACCATCACCATCACCAATATTGCATTGTCTTATCGTAAAACTTTAAGTACGATTGTGAAGATAGAAGAAACATTTTCGTTTCTATTCCATCGTTTCTACGTTTGTCAAAACAACGTTCCTCCTTTCGCATTATTTTTCCAATCTCTTTTCTTTCATCCTGTTCGTTCTTTATTTTTTTATTTTTTTATTTTTGTATTTTTTATTTTTTCTTTCTTTCTTTCGCATCTTTTTTCTCTCAATGAAAAACAAGCATCGACAAACTTTGTTGCTCTTTCAGCTCGTCGTTCTATATTTTCAACGTCATTCAGCTATCCCGAATTTTTCCTACCCTTTCAATCGAATATCCCGATACCTATCGCAACAACAAAAGGGTAAAAAGCGTTACCGCCGGAGGACTCGACACATTCCATCCTCTCCTCTCCTCTCCTCTCCTCTCCTTTAGTCTCCTCATCACTCTTGTTCCCTTCTCTTTTCATCCAACATCACCTCAGTCGCTTCAATTCTCCCGTTTTAAAACTGCTCTTCTACCACCCATCTCCCCCATCCCTATATATGTTCCTCTTTTCCGCCCTCCTGTCGATGCTTTTAACTCGCTTCAGGGGAAGAGCAAACAGAAACGTGCGAGCTTCTTGATTTGACAAACTACACGAGGAACGGATAAGTCGTCCAACCGATGGCTGCTAAAGCTACGAAATAGTGTCACGTACGATACATAACCACCAACCCTCTTCCCTTCCTCTTCCTCATCTTTTTTCTTTACTCTCTCTCTTTCTCTCTCTTTCTTTATTTCGTATTTATCCCTTTGTTTTACTCCAACCGATCCTTTGGTAAATTTTTCTCTGAATACGCGTTCCTTTCTTTCCTTTTCCGATTCTCATTGAAATTCGAAGCATATCCGGTTTCATGGTGGTGCTGGTGGTGGTGGTGATGTTGGTGGTCGCTCGACAATATAAAAGCGTTCGTAGAGATATTTGAAATTATGACGTTTTCATAATACGAGAAAGTAATATTTAATGCACTTTGGGTTTTATATTATATTACACGTTTTTTTTCTTTGCTATTATAATTGTTGTTGTTTTTTTTTTTTTAAATTTTCCTATAATTCTTTTTCGCCGTACGATCATAACCATAATTTTCTCTTTGTCTTTTTCTTTATTTCCGCGAATATTCCGTTAATGTGAGATTACCAAGCTACGAGAGGAACTTTTGAATTGACTAGTATTTTTTGCTGTTGTTGTTTTGTTACAAATTCTCTTGTTTAATAAGTAGCTAGGCAAAAAAAAAACAATCAATTCGGGAATTATACGTATACGATAATAAATCTTTCCTTTTACTCGATCCTTTTTTAATTCGCATAATGAATTATATTCATTTAAATAAAAATCATAATACGCAATTAAAATTTATAATCAATTAGTTATTTATTCATTATTTTGTGAAACTTTCTGATGTTATTTCATTATTTTTGTTCGAGAATTAACATTGAATGTCCATGTGTAGAATTGAAAATAATTCATTGTCCTATAAACTATTAGCTCTCTCCCTTTGTAAGAAAGGGAAGAGGAAATCTAATTCCTCTCTCTCTCTCTCTTTCTTTCTTTGTAGATTTATTTTTCGTGTTCGTTAGATTGTTTGCTGTTATTTGATGAAATCGATGAAACAGAACGCACGTACGTGTTTATACGAAGACAGAATATCTATAGACTTAGTTAGATAAAATTGTATTTCATTTTGTCGTCATGTAAAAAAGAAAAAAGAATAGAAAGGAAAAGAAAGAAAGAAAGAAAGAAAGAAAGAAAGAAAGAAAGAAAGAAAGAAAAAAAATCTATCGGTTAAAGTAAAAGCGGAAATATATTCAGCATGGTTCGTTAATTAGTTTGAGCGAAGGTATAATCAATCTTCTTGGCATATTTGCTGGAATGTAGTAGCTACAGTTATCTTTTCTTACTCTCCGTGCTAATTAATTCTTTAGACGTATATACTCCTAGGTTCGTACATACGTAGGACGAATAGAATAGAAGTGAAAACACTTACAAATTGATCCCGTCGTAGCCGGCACCGATACCAACGTGATCCACACCGGCGACATTTCGAATGTGGTTAATGTGTGCTGAAACATTCCAAAATAGGAGACAGTGTGATAAATGTAATTAGATTTACAACGTCAAATATTGCGTATAATTGTTCACATTCGTTTCAAAGTTATTTTCATGATTTTTCTAAGCAATGATTTTAACTAATATTTTCATTTATTTCGAAAAACATAACGACGAATTAGAAATACCTTTTTCATTTCTTAAACAAATCTTTATTTGAATGGTTTTTTTCTTTTTTTAAAGGAAACCATAAATTGAATGCTTTTATTAATTCGTCTTTTAAATTGGTTTTTTTTTTGTTTTTATGCAATATACAATGTAGATACGATAATTTGGTGCAATCAAAATCCGTTGATATTCGAAACAAATATTACGTGATAACATTTGTAAAATCGTGAAATTCGATTCCTTATACAATTATTTAAACAACGGCTTTATCTATCGTCTTATCGTAATAGTAGGAACAATTCAAATTCCACACTGATGAACGCTTTTCGTTAGGGTCTGCGATAATAATACACCGTACGAAAGAGAAACTAACGGAAGATAATAATGCGGAAATGCGAGAATCAGTTATTCATGATGCTGATATAATTATAATGGAAAGTTTTGGCAGACATTTTTGAAATTATTACCTTTACTAGGATCGAACATTATCGTAGCTTAATAATTAGTGTGCGTTCTTTTCTTTGCCAAACAATGCTTTTATACACTTCCATTTACCTGTTTCGCATTGTCCACGTGATTTTAAAGATTTATGCAACCATTTGCTAGTGAATAATTACAATAATGCGATGTAAGTATGCAAATGTGTATAATAAGTGTATTTCTATGTTTCTATATGTATGAATCTATGTGTCCTATATGTAGTATGCATGTACATATGAATTTGTATGCATCTATGCTTTTATGTGTATGCATGTATGAATTTGTATATAGATATGTATATATAATATATATGTAAAATGTATATATATATATATAGAATAGACTGGTCTGCCCGTTCGCGTTTATCTCTCCTGTCCGATTTTATTCGCGTTCGTTTCTTCGTCCGCTTTGGAGAATAGTAGAAAGAGACAGGGAGAAGTTTCTTATCGGGTGTCTAGCTCGTTATTCAATCGGCTTTCTACTTCTTCCCTTGCCCCCTCTAATTCGCCACTTTGCTCCTCTTCCTTTTCTTCCTTTGCTTTTCGAGAGATTGTACAAAGAGAGAAAGAAATAGAGAAGGTGGGATAATTTACTACGTTCGAACGCGTGAGAAATGGTTAAGGTGAGACAAAGAGACAAAGAAAGTGAAAAAGAAAGAGCTATATATATATATATAGTGTTCAAGGAATATCATGAAGAAAATTGGTGGTTCTCGTGAGAGACAACTCGAACTTTTCTTTCTATTCGTTTCGTTTCTGTCTTAGAAGAGGAAGTTTCTGTCTTATTGTTAAGGACGACAGGATATTTGCTTTTCTATCGAGAATATTCTACACATACAAAATTCAGTCGTACCTAAGAGGTTAAAATAAATAATTTTTTGTTGTTGTTATGATTTTAAACAACTTACCAACGACATCTTGTAACGTTGATGTTTCGCTGCAGCTTATAAAAGGGGGGTAGAAGGATACCATAACTATACCACCAGTCCGCGCCTAAAAGTGTTAAGACACAAATTAAAACAAACGGAATGGTGAAGAATTCTTCTTCTTCTTTAAAAGGAAGATTAAAATATTCGAAAGACTTACCAAATGTCTTAAAGCGTGATCAGGCACATTTCGCGATGAATTGCATAGAGCATGAGCACTGCTGTGACTAAAAATGACTGGCGCTCTTGAACTTGTCATGGCGTCTAGCATAGTGGGTACCGAAACGTGCGATAGATCTACCATCATCCCCAGTCGATTCATCTCGAGAACGATGCTCTGAAAATTAACGAGAAAGAGTCCTTTCAAAAGTCTTTTTCTTTTTTTTTTTTCTTCTTCTTCTTCTTCTTCTTCTTCTTCTTTCTTTGTTGTCGTCTAGTGCAGATTAAAAGGGAAATCTTGAGTTGTTCAAGTCGGAGTCGGAAAAGTTATATGAATGCGAGTGAGTTCTTAGGGTTTGAAAAAACTTTCAAAGAAGAAGAAGAAGAAGAAGAAGAAAAAGTAAGCAAGTGAACGAGCGAACGATCGATCAATTGGTCAAAACGAAGAGGGATTTCTCTTTTCTATTTTTTTTTTTTTTTTTTTTTTTTTTTAATTTCAATTTATCTTTAACGATGACCCTTTGGCGTTTGATTTTTTATCGAAGAAAAATTAGAGTTAAAAGACACGAAAGAAAACTTATCCTCTTTCAACGTGAAAAATGTACATGTACATCTATAGAATGTGTGTAATTATTTATTTATGTATTTATTATGTATCTGTGTGTGTGTGTATGTGTATGAAACATAGTTTACGTTAGTTTTGTGAAAAAGCAGCTTTAGGTAGGAAGTAGAATCCTTTGAATCGATTCGTTTGACAGTAGGGACACGTTACATCCGAGTGACACTTATTGCACTGGCCTGTCTCGCCAGATTGAAGGCAGACGACGGATGGTTCGTAATGTTTGCCCAACTATAACGATTAGAATTCAAACCACGTCGAACTGATGGAATAAACCAGAGGAAAAGAGAAAGAAAGAGAAAGAAAAAGAAACAGAAAAATATTAACATTCGGAGCATCAATCTTTAAATGGAAGAAAACAAACAATAAGCCTTGTATGGTTGTCGCATTTATTATTAATATTATGGAAATAGGTATTAATAACAAAATAGGTAGAATTATTTATGATCGATTTAATAATATTAACTTTAATTTTGATTAATAAACTCTTATCAATCTTTCGTATAATCAAGTAACTTAATTATCAATAATATTTCTTTTCGAATATATATTACGAATCTCTGTTTTATCTCTTCTTTACGTAATAAAAGAAGAGAATGATGAAGAAGAAAAAAAAGGTGTGATAGGTAATAAATAAAATAAATGATGGGGTGTCGTTCAAAGACGATAAAGAGGAGGAGGACAACGAAAACGAGGCGTCGTCTTTGTCATCAAAACTTGGGGGAAAAAGAAAGTTCTTGTTATTGAATCAATAAGACACGTAATCGTACGTCTCAATCTTTCTTTTCTCGGGACTAGTAGATGATCATCTTTATTAAGGATTTTATCTCTTGTATCACGAATTTCAAGAATATTATTCTTTTTCTTTTTTTTTTTTTTTTTTGGTAGTTAGTTCGATAAAGTAGCTTACCTTTCATTTCAACTTTAAGACTTTTGCTAAATCATTGTCTCTAATAAAACCGAATAAAGTTTCCTAGATTTCTTATTCATCTCAATCTTTTTACCTATCTGCCAATCTGTCTGTCTGTCTGTCTGTCTGTCTGCCTGTCTGTATATTTCCTTTTACCTGTCTATTTCTGTCTTTTTCTACTTGTCGAGTAAGTCGAGAACGGTGAGACATCGTTAACGTGACTCGTGCGAGTCTCCTTTTCATCACATCGTTTCTTTTAGGATAAACGAAGAAAAAGATAAAAATACAAAAACAAAGAGAAAAGAAATAAGATAAAAGAAAAAGAAAGAAAGAAAGAAAGAGGACTAGACGAGATAGTATTTCAGTTGGAAAGAGGGATAAAGAGAGGAGGAAACGTGAAAAATCTCCGCGCGTGAGAGAACGCGATGTTCTTGACGTTGACTCAAGGAAGAGGATGCACGATGAAAAGGAAAGGATAGGAAAAATGTAAGTAGTAGTAGTAGTAGTAGTAGTAGTAGGTAGTACTGCTTTTTACATGTGTGTTTGTGTTTGTGTGTATTTGTACGTTAGGAAGTCAGTCGAGAAGGGAAAGCAGTAGTCGTCCTTCCTTATTCGAACGATTTATTTCCTGCGAAGACTCCCTCTCTACGTCGTCCTTTATCTAAATTTTATTTTATTCCCTTTGCTCTCCCTCCGTTTCCTTCGTACCCGTGAACGACGACGACGACGACGACGACGACGATGGTTTATCTTTTATCCGAACGAATAATCACTGACCTTCTTTCTCTCTCTCTCTCTCTCTCTCTCTCTCTATCTATCTATCTATCTCTATTTCTCTTTCTCGTTTTATCCTAGTGACTTATAAAAGAGAAGGATCGTTCGAAGGAATGAACGAACAAACGTACGAATAGGGGGAAAAAAGTACAAAATGAAGTACTTCGTCTTTTTAATGGAAAACTTATCGTTAGATGTCTTCTTCTTTTTTTTTTAAACCTTTTTCTCCCCCTCCTCTTTCCATATTCCATTTGGTGTAACATTTATTGTTGATTCATATCTTTTTATCTCTCTCTTTTTTCTTTCTTTCTATATGTTGGTCTGATACTCTCAAAAGTAGGAAACTCTCAAGTGACAGTTAGATTTTTTACTTCTTCTTTCACATTTTTCTTTCCTTCTTTTTTTTTCCCCCCAAGTTATCAGAAAAATCCACCCCTTAAGGCTGCTCGACGACTAGAACGAACGTGGGGAAAAAAAAGTCTCTCGTAGAGAGAGAAAGAGAGAGAGAGAGTTCTATCGTTCGACTGAAAACGTTCGACGCGAATAATTCGCGTTCTCCCACGAGCATTTCTTTCTTTTTTTTTTCTTTTTTTTCTTCAATGTCCCTCCCTCCCTCGACTACTGTCATAGGTACCTCGGTTTTATCGCCTAACAAAAAAATTCTTCATTCTTCCACTTCTTCTTCTTTATCTTCTATTTCTTCTACTTCCTCCCCTGCGTCCGTTCGAGAAATTCCTTCGAGAGGGAAAAGAAGAGAAGAAAAAATATTACGCCACTTCGTAGGAATGTTCTTTTTCTTTTTTTCCTTTTTTGTCCTTTTATTTGCAAACTTTTGAATTCCACTTCTTCCAACGGAATTTTTGTCCATTCTATTTTATAATTATTGTCTAAGTATGCGTTAATTGTTGTTTGAACGATCGTATGTAAACAGAAGTTTATTGTAATTAAATTTAAAAATTAGATTGATTTATTTATATTCTATAATGAAATGATTGAAAGTGTTGTTTATATACAATTTTCCAAACAAATTGTTCGTTTATTTTCCAAGCGATTTCCATTTACATTGATTTGCACTCATAATGTATAACTGAACGAGTGAAAGGAGTATTTCTATATTATGTAATATTAGCAAAGTGGAAAAACCACGATAATGGGAAATGATCATCGGGGATGATGATGATGATGATGATGGAACGGTACGAGCTACGAATTTGTTGAAAAAAATTTGCGGTTATCAATAATGCGAAAAATTTGTGGTTATCAATAAACGAAGTTTTGGTGGTGGTGGTTCTTTCGTTTGGAATTTATAAGGTATGGTTTTATTGGTTTTGTAGTTTTAAGGCCGAAGGCGATTAATTAAGTTTGCTTTTAAACATTTCTCTCCTACTTTTTAAATTGATCCTTCGAGTTATTTCATTATAACATTTTTAATCTTGATAATATTTTCATTATTTATCCGTGTAAAAGGTATCCTTTATTTTATTTAGATCGAACTATCGAAGTTGACAGCAACAGCAGCAGCAGCAGCAGCAGCAGCAGTAGGAACAACATCAAAAGCAGTAACAGGAGCAACAGCAGTAGCGGCAAGTAACGATCGTTTAGTTCTTCCAAAATGAGATGAAACTTGTCCTTTCGCTGGGTATCGTTACTAGAGATACCTACCGGATGTTGCTATCACCGAGAAAGAGAGTAAGAGAGAGTGAGAGAGAGAGAGAAAGAGAGGTAACTTCAGTTAGGAAACTACCAACACCTTGGCACCTATTTGGAGAGGAAAACTTTCGGGAAGCAAGCCGGCAGCTGTTCTCAAAAGGGCTCTCTCTGGTCAGTTCTGAGAGAACGCTTTGGAAAACTTATCGGCCAGCTGTGCCCATCTACATTCCAAACTCAATCCTCATTCTGGTTCCTTTACCCGCAAGAAAATCTTTCACATTTTAACATTATTTTCTTGTCTTTAACGTGAACAATCATTTTTTCGTTTCATCTTTATATTTCGTCGTTGTTTTTTTTTTTTAATCTTTTTAATCGAACAATTTTAATTTTTTCTTTTTTCAAAGATGAAACTTTTTGTTTCTATAAGTAGTTTTTATCGAAGAAAATGAAGAAGAAGAAGAAGAAGAAGAAGAAGATGTATTGATAACTTTGTCATACTTGACGGTATAATTTATCGGTCGAAATGTAAAGAGTAAGAGATGGAAAGAAATAGGAAGTAAAAAGCACGTGAAAGTTAATAAAGAGGTCGAGATTTGAAAGTTTAATATCACTGAAGAGATATTCGGGTAGAGCAGTGAAATTAAAATTCCTCGAGAGTAAGCGTAGAGGAGGAGGAGGAGGAGGAAGAAGTGGAGGACAAAAAAATAAAAGACAAAAGGATATTAGAGTTTAGTAGTAGTTAGCTCGAGATTATTATAATAAATATACATAAATATGCATAAGCATATAAATAATATATGCACGAATCATGCATCAATTCATAAAGTTGGTAGAAAAATGCTGATTGTATGAAAGATCGACAATCAAAATCTAAATTTCAACCATTTTCTTCTTTAATTTATTATATATATATATATATATTTTTTTTGATTATAATTTTGTTTTTGTGTCAGTTACGTAAGTTAACTAAAAGATAAGAAATAACTTTGTGTATATACAGAACGCGTTAAAGAGATCTCAAGAAAATAACTGGAAAGCAGTGCAGCCCTCTTGTAGTAGAGCAGATGGTACGTGGCAGATCATAGAAACACGTTTGTCCTTCTTTAGACGTCGTAGACGACGTTTCTTAATGAAAGCACGTTCGCCGAATAACGCGAAGAAAATGACTTCTCCGTTGTGCCAAAAGCACGATCCTTACACTGGCTACCCTCTAATTAACTCAATCGTCTACCACGAATTTTCTATTAACTTTATTCCCCTATTTACCATTTACGAATAGTTAACATCCTATAGTAATCGTAATAATAATCATAATCATAATTATGTGTATTTATTTAGATTTATTTTACGCTCAACGTGAAGTTTAAAATCATTTTAATTATTACTATATTATTTTGTCTCTTTCTTGTTTATTTATTTATTTATTTATTTTTTTCATTTATTTAAACATTTAAATATGATTATACAGAAGGTATTATAAAAGTCATTGGAGTGAAGAAGAATTTTTATTTTAAAAGAAACTTCATTCATTGTATACTCGTACAATACTTCAACTGATAATTTATACAGTAGGACCTTGATTAACCCGAAGTTACGATTATTAGTTTCTTGGTTATCCTTTGTTTTATGTTTGTTAACAAAAGTTCGAGTTCAGTTGAGATGGTACAGTAAAACCTTGACTTATTCATGTCATTTCTCCCCTAATCGAGCTGGTAAATCAAAATTCAACTATATCTTAAAATAAAAATAAAACAAGTTAATTTTTGTTTAAATTAGATTTACATACACCACTTTCTTTACAAATGACGTTCAATATTAAAAAGGCATTTTCTTATTAAATTATCAATCAATTGAACTCGATTCGACTTGATCGAAATTTAATTTAACATTTTCCAGACTGCCAGCAGCAATTTGTAAGATAGTTTTTCGGTGTCAATTAAACTAAACTAATAGAAAATACATAAGTATTAAAGGTACTTTGTTGTTGTAATTTATTTATCGACTGACGTAGCAAAAGGTGAAAATTATTCTTTTACTTGGTGTTATAAGAGAAAGAAAATTGATTTATTACCAATCCGTTAACTCAACTCCTTCATCTCTGTAATTTTCATCGAGTATATCAAACAATGATTCTTTTCCAAACTTGTTTAACTTTTACTGAAGTGAGAATAATTTTTCTTTTTTCTTGTTTTTTTTTTTTTTTTCATTAGTTTTTACTTTCATGGAAAGTGTGGAACGATTAATCGATTCACGTTTCTTTGTTCGTAAAAGTTTCGCGCGTGTAAAAAAAAATCCACTTGATGAAGGAAAATTCATTTTGATGTGAGAAAAAAAGTTGTATCTTTTGAACAAGAAAAAAATTCCCATAGATCGTAATCTTTTTTTTCTTTTCTTTATTTTTTCCATTTTTGTCACTCTTATTTAGATTCTAATTTTTATTTTTCCTTTTCTTTCATTATTATCGTCAGAAGTGTTGTTGCCTTGCCTTTGGCAACAACGTTCTTGCTATTTTTGGATTAACTTTATATAATCAGTAAAAGTGGAAAAAAGAAAGGAAAAAGAAATAAGAACAATTGTTTTCAGAGGAATAGGTTAAAAGGTTAAAAAAAAAAAAAATTGTTGAAATAATTGGTCTCCCCCAGTTGAGTCGTAAAAGAGTTTTCTTTCCGCGTAGGTAGATAAGCTTCGCAATCAGTTTGTCGTTATCCGACCAATGAAATTTTCTCTTCTTTTTTTCTTTACCTTTTCTCTTTCTATTTACACATACGCGAACACACACACACACATACCACTTTTTGCTTTATAAAGAAAGCTGTAGGTAAAATCGAAGGTTACAGGAAAAAGTTGAGAAAATCCAACACATTAAATACTTAAAGATCTTATATATGTGTATGCATGGATGTCTCTGTGTGTGTGTGTGTGTGTGTGTGCTTAAAATATAGCTTTAAACATCGAAGAAATAGAGGGGTTGAATTTCGAAAGATATAAAGCTGCCCATTTCGTGGTACGTTCAGGGTAAAAGGATTTGCGAAGTTAGGTAAGGATGAGAGAGGACGTTTTTACTCTCTCTCTCTCTCTCTCTCTCTCCTTCTCTTTCTTTCTTTTTTTCCTTCCTTTCTTTTTTATCCTTTTAAAGAAGCAGAAGAAGAAGAAGAAGAAGCAGCTTTGGAATTTTTATCGGCCACTTTAGATGGCTGTTTATTGCCACGATGTAGGTGATAAACGGTCGTAAGATCTGAAGGAAGCAAGGTGTAAAAAAGTCGAGAAGATCGGACATAAAATATCTCCTTCTGGAAAGGCTCGATGAGAAAACGAGTACTTTCTTTCCCACCTTTAAGAAGATTGATCTAAGAATTTGTAACTTTTACACTTACTCGAGTTTCATTACTTTGCGTGAAAAAGAAACGATGAAGTTTGGTGATACTTCGTTAAATGCAATTTCCGAAAGTATTTTTATTGCTTTGATAAAATATTTAATAAGATATACAACACATATAATAGTTTAATATAGGAAATATTTGCTAAAAATACAAATGAAAATTTGCCATTAAATTTGATCAATTTTCTAAGAGGAAAAATTTAATTAGGAATGAATTGTTCGTTGGTAATTTAACGATTCCTTTTATGAAAAAGTTTACACGATAACGTGTAACATCTAGTTTTTTCCGTAGTTTTACATTGTTCACGTTCTATGAAGATTTATAACTTCTTTTTGTAAGCGAAGGAAGATATTGGTGTGACGTTGGTACCGTTGAATTGCTGGTCCGATCCTTTTTCAAACTGAGAGAAGAATAGCTCAGCAAATGGTATGGTAGTGTTGAAGAAAAAGTTACTTTTCAAGAAAGAGAAAAATGTATATATCTCTATGTATGTATGAATGTATATATAAAAGAATGGAAGAGAGAGAGAGAGAGAGAGAGAGAGAGAAAGAAAGAGGGAAGAAACATCATGAAAGTGAGGAAGAGAAACGAGAAGAAGGTTTACAGAATGATAGCGAGAAACGCGATCGATTTTCATCAGGGTGAATTAAAATGGACATCGTACGACCATTATTCTTCTTCGTAGCAACTGAAAGGAGTGGCTGGAGAAAAATCTTAGCTTCGTTGAATACTTTAGCGACGTTCGTTAACAATCTTCCCTGTTTCTTTCTTTTTCTTCTCTTCTTCTCTTCTCTTCCTTTTTTAATCCTCCCTTTTTTCCTTTCCCCTTTTTTCTTCTTATTCTCTTTCACGACGACATACTTTGTAAATTCGAATCGAATATTTTTGTTCTTTTTTTTTTTTTTTTTTCACACGTTCGTCAAAAAGCTTAATTGTGAATTTCTTATTTTAGAATATCTTTATCTCGTTTAAAATATATTCACACGCGATCATTTATAAATGAGAAGAAAAAACAGTTTACTTGGTGACAAAAATTAATATGTATGATTTTTTTATCAAGAGAATATAATTNCTTCCTTTTTTAATCCTCCCTTTTTTCCTTTCCCCTTTTTTCTTCTTATTCTCTTTCACGACGACATACTTTGTAAATTCGAATCGAATATTTTTTTTTTTTTTTTTTTTTTTTTTTCAAACATTCGTCTGCAAGCTTAAAAGAGAATTTCTTTTTTTATATTTTTTTTATCTCGAATAATTTCTATTCACACGCGATCATTTATAAATGAGAAGAAAAAACAGTTTACTTGGTGACAAAAATTAATATGTATGATTTTTTTATCAAGAGAATATAATTTTGACAATAAAGAGATGCGTATTTTTTATGACAACAAGGGTCAGAAATGTTACGACCATTGAAACGAATAAACGGAATATTCAAATTTCTTTTCATTCGATTTTCATTTGGTTGATATCCATTCGATTACCGCATCTCTAAAGTCATTTTTCATCTTCCTTCGACCACGAAAAAGTACCCTCATCTTCTCACGTCATCGCAGTGTCCATTCTCTCTCCCCTTAACTTTCAACGAGTTTTCAGTATTTCAATAGACACAATTCTTTATATCTTACTATTATATATCAATAAGAATGATTGAAATATGTCCGTCACATATATTACATATTCGCATAAAAAAAGAAGAAAAAGAAATGTATATTTTTTTTACTATAATATAAATCAATCAGTAAGTAGTCTAAATAAGTCATACAAAAAATTGTTTAGTATTTCATATTAAAGACGATGTGCTTAACTTTTGATATTTTTAATTAATATTTAATCATATTAAACCATAATAATATTAATAATTATTGAATAAAATTAATTTTTATTTTCTTTCAGACTTTTTGAACAAGCTAGTTCATATTTGACGTTTAGAAAAATTGTATATTTCTGAGAGAATGTTAACAAAACCAAAACAATTTTCATTGTACTAAATTTAAATCGTTTTCACGTTCGTTTCTAAGTCGCGATTAGATCCGGTTTAGATCTCTCTTTCTCTCCTTTTCTCTTGGTTAGGAAAGAGGTACTTTACTGGTGCTAAAAGGTTTAGTAGGATAGTTCGTGAATGAACTCTAAGCTGTCCAGACCGATGCTTTCACTCTCCACGAGCTTGCTTCTGAATAATCAAAGAGAAAAATAGACCGACACATTCCGTGCATTAGCCTAAGCTACTTCCTTCGTAGTTTCTATTTAACCACTGTACCTACAGGTTATGTAGAAATGTTTTCTAACTAAATTATTCAATTATTTAGTTTATCAAATATATTTCTATAGGGGTTTATTATCTACAATACATTCAATACGAAGGATTATTGTATTTTCTATGGATTTGTATCATTAATACGAATTTGTGCTGCAATTTCAAATCTCCGACACCAACATACATATTGTGTGGTAAAAGGATTTCGTGTCAGATAAGAGTCAAAAGATAATTTCGAATAGAAACATCTTTGTTCAAAAAGTTTTGATTCTGTTAGAAAATATTTTATCGTGTATAAATAATTTAAACGAAAAGAATAGAAAAAGAGAAGGTAGTATATATATATAATCGAATATACGATGAATAATGAATTTCGTGTAACGAATTTCACGGATATGAGAAAACAACGTTAAGGTTTTTCTTTGATGGTAGTATTACTAATAATTTATTCTACGTAGGGATCGATGAATTTTTAATGCCACTAGTTGGGCCAATTTGGTGGAATTTAATTTTCTACTCACCTTACCGAAGTTTGAGAGACCACCGACGTGAGGCACTTGACCAGGTTCATCCGCCTTGCTGCAGTCTGCCCTAACGAACCAACAGGTCAGTAACTCTATAGTTACAATCGTGCGCATTATTGCCATACAATGACTTCTAATCATGGCTCTACCAATTCCCGGTTCTATTGCCGTACCACGATAACGATATTTACCTAACAGAGAAACACGATCAGAGTCTAACGAATTGTTGTTCAATTTCTAACCGCGTTCTCCTCATTAACGCAATACCTTCATCACATATTCAACTACATTCTCACGCAATCATAATATGATACTTTGTACCATTTATTCGAGATCGATGACGTTCTATTGAAACTATTGATAACACACTGTTATTATTCAAAGTCTTATCAAATTAGCTTTCATATATGACTGTAATTCTAACTGAATTAATTGTAAGTCGAACAATGGACAAAATTCATTCTATAATTTTATTTTAATATTACAACTGTTTCCTTTATAATATCTTTTAAAACATTCGATCAATTTTATATTTACATTTTTTCATTTAATTCATTGTTACTTGTATATATATATTTCTTTTTTTTAGAACAATTTTTCAAGCTAATATAAACATTTATTCCTATTTATTGTATATTTGTATTTTCATTAAATTATCGCTTAATAGTAGTTGAAGCAGATTGAACAATGGCGTCAGATACCGGTGATATGTCGTAACAATGCTATCAAGGATTAATACCATGGTGACGATCACGTGTATTAACGTTCTATTCTCTAAACCGTCTGACAGAACATCAATGATACAGTATTAGATAGATACTAGTTGTAATAATCGATTATTCAACGGGTAAGGCTCAATCGGGATCTTCCCGTTGGCGATGTACGTAGGTAGTACGTACGTAGAAATTCTACTACAGTGTGAAGGACGACATTGCTTTATCGGATTTTACTTTGTCGTGATTGGTTCATTTTCGCAACTTAGGTAGCTACGTTAATCGATCTGTTTATTCTAATAAACATCAATATTGTAATCTAATATTAACGTTTATGTTATCGTATTACCTTCTTCAGTTTTGACGAGTATGAAAGGAAGAAATATACAGAAAGAAAGAGAAACGACGATATGTGAGGATCGTAAAATAAATTGAAACTTTACTTCCTTACTTAAGTAGAAGAAAAGTAAGAGAAATAAGAAAAGAGATAAAAGAAGACTTGAGTTTCGAGAAATTCATAGCACCTTCCATAGGAAGAATTTTTATCTCTCTTTCTCTCTCTCTCTCTTTCTTTCTTTTTCTTTTTCACACCTGTCGCGTCCACTCGTAAAACTAACACAAAAGCGAATTCATCTGTTGTTCGTCATAAAATAATATTTCACTATCATTCTTTTATTCTTTTATCTTTCATCGTAGCGTAAAGTCGGCTAGGTATCTTCCAAAATAATTTCAAAAGTATCTCAAATTGATTTTTAAATTTTACTAAAAATTTAGTATGAAAAAAAAAAAAAAACAGAATAAATTAATGGAGTTTAAGAAAGTTTGAATTAATCTCACCGATGTACAGTGGTGTATGTATTATCGATGAGATGAGGGAATGATAAACTGGACACGTTTCGGAACTTTGATTATAATCTTGGAATCTTAAACGATAGAGATCTGAATGATTTTGTATCTTGATTGGTAGACTCACCAAGGCGTATGACATGTGTGAGTTAATGTTAGATATCTGGCACCAAGTTCGTAGAGCATTCTCAGGACCGCCAAACTCGTGCCGATGGCATGTCCTCCTTCAACCCCTATAAGACTCGCTAATTTACAATCCTTGTGTGCTCTCTCGATCCCTGAAATTATACATTAAATTCAACTTTAGTCGTTTCCGATTATTTCACTCATTCTTATTCACCCTCTTATCGTTCATTACACTATTACAATTGGAAGTATATAGAAGAGTAAGTACATTATCGGTCAAAATTATTTTATTATCTTACTCAATTAGAAAAAATTTGCTTAAAAAACGAATATATATATATTAACTAATTTTCTTTAATATTCATAAATTAATGTTTTGTTCAATATAATTAATAATTAAGTTCAATTTGAATGTGTCATTCACCAAAGAAAAAGAATCTTTATTAGTGCAAAACGAATTTTCAATATAATTCAGTTCAAATTACTTTCACAAGATTATAGAAGTTGTTACTTAAGATGCCAAGAATATTTAAGGCGGTACTGAAAGCAAGATTGAAATATTTGATGAGCACTCTGTAAGTTTCCTTCTATTTTATCCTGAATCATTTTTAGTACAAACGATTTAGTTTTATAATTATGTTACGATAATAAATGACTGAAAATTTTTATTTCAAGGATGTAATATAACCAGTAATGGAATATCAGCTTCATGGAATACTAAGATTCATAAGACTTTAGATGAAATTTTGTATTAACTAAGTTGTGGTCAATTACATCTTGAACGTACGGAAATATTATTTCGTTTTCTGACATAGCACATCATTAGTTGCACAATAGCATTTTCCCGAGCCGTTATGTTTACTTGGATTAATTAAATCATCGGAATTGCCCATCTGGGTTTTGATAGCCTTGGATATCTCCCGTTGATTACAAAACGCGCTTGGTTCTACGTAAAAGATAATAAACATTGTACACGCTTGTTCTCGCTATCTAAACTCGCGTATTCCACAATCAGCATTTACTCGATATTCGTTCGCTATTCAACGAATTCGATGACCAACGTTTAATGGGACGAACGAGCCACTAGTGTAAGGGTAGACCGACGGCTTCGTAAAATCAAATTGGCGAGCTTGCAAGCGGTTCATGGTAGGTAGGGATTCGATTAAAATACCACGTGCAAACTGTGTCGCTAATATCCTACACTACTTGTTGTTGTCAACAGCTATGTACTCGTTATAAGTTGTCGTTGTTGCAATTTTCCTTTTCAAAAACAAAAAAACAAAACAAACAAACGAATCAAATGATAAGTCGATATATAATACGTAAATACGTAATGCAATAGTTTTTCTATTTATTCTTTTACTTTCTTCCTTCGTTCTAACAGATAGAATAAATTGTAATTTATAACATATATATTTTCTCTCTCTCTCTCTCTCTCTCTCTCTCTCGATGAAAAAGGATCAAACACGAAGAAGAAAATAGAAAAAGGGACGATCTGAGGGAATAAAAGGCAGTAAGCTGGTAGTACTACTGTTGCTGTTGCTGTTGTTACTGCTGCTGCACGATGGAACTAGATTTACTACGTCCACTGATTTATGCGTTGACACGCGCGTACGTCTTGTATATGCACATACATACATACATACATAGACGCAAAAGTATCCGTGTATACGTGTAATACGTAAATGGTGAGAGTTCAGAGGGGAGAGTAGCCAACGTCGTGCAACGTGCCGGAGAACCCCGATGATATCGTGCGAACCCTGCTGCGAATATCACCACCAACGCATTAATACTAACACACGCAAGACCATTGTATACCATTGCTGGTAATACCATCACCCTGACCCCGGAGCATTTTTCCATTTCTACCGGAATTTCTCATTTTCCACGACCCCGTTTGTTCTTTCCTTCTATCCTCTGGATTGGCTTCCTAAGGATAAGCCCGTGAATTCTTTATTCCTATTTTTTGAACAGCTTAACTCATATTATAGAGAAAGAAAAAATAAAAGAAAGAATCTCGTTGTTATTTCGTGTCGATGAACGTTTTTGAAAAAAAAAAAGAAAAGAAAAAAGAAAAAAGGAAAGGAGAAGACGAAAAACATAGAAAACTGTTTCCAAACATTTTAGTTCGATCGTTGCATAGATCAAAAAAATGTCTGTCATGTATCTACGTTATTATTTTTAATACATTTTTTGTTCCTTTTTTGTATTTATTATACTTTTTACTTTCTTCTCTACTATTTTTTTGCCTTCTCTTTTTGTAACTTTTCCAAAGTCCATATTGTGCATAAGTTTCCATATCAACATAAGGCTACACGAAGACTAGGTATTTCAAGTTATCGAAGCACCATACGTTGATGATATACATATATACATGCATGCATAGATCGTATATATTCCAGCGAGAAAAGATATTTCCATTTCACATGAAATTTTCCATATCCAATGCATCCTTGGCGACATACACTCTCTCTCTCTCTCTCTCTCTCTCTCTCTCTGCGTTTCCATCTTTCCATCCTATTCGCATTACTTTGGAGAGCGTGCCGTCGCGTGAAATACACTCGTATTATAATAACAACAATAACAACAATAACAACAATGTCTTGACATTTGAGAAAATTTTTCTCTCCATCTTGGAAACACCATTTTGAAGACTGCCGTTTCCTCCTAATGCCCTTGTTTTTCTTCCTTTTCTTTTCTTTTTTATCTTTCTCCACGTATTTAAATATTACCATTTTCTTTCGTTTTATGTATTATTATTTTTCTCTTTCAACTTTGGAGGGAATATAATTCGAGAAAAATGGAATAGGAACGACGCGAGAGATAAAAAGATATTTTCTTTCAATTCCTTATTTCTCTCTTTCTCTTGCTCTTCCTTTCTCTTCTTCTATTTTCTCTTCTTTTATAACCAGTTGTTCGTTTTCTCGTTTCCAATAACGTCTTCGGGGTTCATCACGACTACAACGACGAGGACGACGACGACGACGACAACGACGACGACAACGACGACGACAACGACGATGAACAGAAGGAAGATGTCGTCGTTTCACACCGTTTCTTCCCTTTCTCAATCTTCTCGCGTCCTCGAAAGACAAAGGGAGCCTTTCGAATTGGAACTTGGAAACACTCGTTACCTTGATGGTACCCAATCGAGATGGAACTACCGTGGTATGCCGTTCACTTAGTTTCTCTCCATTTTAATTTCTTTTATCATCGTGATTCGCAATCGTGCTTTCCGTTCGCCTTCCCCCTTTTCCTTCTTCTTCTTCTTCTTCTTCTTCTTCTTCTGCTTTTTCTTATTTTTTTTTTTTTATCTTATCCGAATAAATTTTACCCTATACTTACACTCCCTTTCTGCATTAATACGAAAGCTCGTATTTTTTTCTTATATAAAATATAAGGGTAAAAACCATTTCAATCATTTGAGGGGAGAATTATCTGAATATTTTCTATTTCATTTTTCCAGATGGAAAAGGAAATTTTTTTCTTTTATTATTCTTATTATTATTATTGTAATTTTTTTAGGATTAAGATAAATATGAATTAGAAAAATAATCTAAGGTGAATTTACTTTAATCATTTGATGGAAGGACTTGCATATTTTAGATTTTTATTTTATTTTAATTTTTCCATATTACTGTAAATATTGATCAACGTTATTTTCTTGTAACATTACTCACACACATATCGCGCGTTATTATGAAAATAATGATTATAAAAATTATTAATTTTTTTTTTTCTAATTACCTTCAGCCGTAGTAACAAGAACCATACTTTCGGGATGTTTATTGACCAATCGGCGAATCACATCGATCTGTTCCAAAGCAAGTTGAACGGAGTCGTGATATTGGGATGGACAGGGCGTGTACGCTGACCAGAACTGAAACAAAAATAAATAGAGAGTGTGAGAGAGGGAGATAGTTATTAAGTACGTAAAATTTGGTTGGTATATTGTGAATATTGAATGAGAGTTGTCAATAGTGAGTTGTGAAATATGATACGATTATTCGCTCGATAATCTTAACGATACTTTGAAATACAAGTACGTTTCCTTCGGGACTTCATCTTTAATTCAAACGCGAGGGGGAAGACTAGCTCCCGATATCGTTGAAAACAATTAAGCGTGAGTATAAAGAAAATGTATATAAAACCCGGTGAATAATATTTTGAATTTCAAATGTAAACCTAGTAATACTTCCAAGAACTGTCTATCTTTTTTTTCCCCTTTTTTAAATCCTAACGTATAGTCAAGTATAAATACGTTTGTCGTTCGTTTCGAATAATTTAAGAATCGTCCTACATACATCTCGACGATACGTTTCGTTAGAATTTTTGTTCTCTCGTTGGAAAAAAAAAAAACATGAACGAGAATCAATAAGGTCGTCGGGTCGATAAAACATTAAAAATGTAAAACGTCAAATATTTTTATCACCACCTTTCTCCATGGAACACAATTATATTATCAGTTTGTTCGAAAATTAATTTCCTTTTTCCCTCCCCTCAAAGATTTCTTCTTAATCCCTTTTACGTATATACCTAATTTTATTCTAAACCATAAAATCGTATAATATTCTAGTAACGGGACACCTCAGATGTTATTTAGAAACATCTTGTGTTTCGATCTTTTGCCATTTACTTATTCAAAATGATTCTTCTTATGATTTTTCATTTATATTTTTTATGACCACTAACATTCGAAACGACTTTACGTAAGGCTCGTAAATCAGTGGACTACACTACGACATTATTTCGAGTGTTCTATTCTAACATTGAGTAACATCGATCGTCGCGGTAAATACAAACACACACATACACGTTACAAATTTTATGTTTGTTCTGTGTGAAAATACTCTGGAATATCGGAAGGTTTTGTATTTTTATAGTCGCAAGTATTTAACGAGAAAACGGAAAGGAAACGTTCGTGTGTCCTTCTTAGGTTCGTGGGGTTCGCATTTTCTATGTTCTACACATACACGTTTATATGTACATGTATATATATAGACAAGAACGTAGAGAAGAGGCACAGTAGTTATGGCATGGTTTACGTCGGACCTTGGCAAAGTCGTGTGCGTTTATATACAACACACATCTTTCTTTCCTTTCGTTTACATTAGTGTTGGTACTCGCACAAAAACGAGTAGTCGCAGTCGAGTTTTAGGTCAGACGTTCATAAAAATACTGCTATGAGAGAGAGAAAGAAAAAGAAAGAGTAGTGGTGGTAGAAGCGTAGTTCAGCATTTGGGATTCTATTTAAAGGTGACCTATGATTGTGAAAACCCGATCTACCGTCGAATAAATAGCAAGGAGGTATTCGGAGAACGTTCGTTTGAAGGGAGAAGATACAATCGTAAACGTTCTCTCCCCTAAAGTCCTTTCGGTTTCTTAAAAGGCCACGATAAAATGGGCTATACGATATTCCCTAAATATTCACGTTTAAACGTTTAGAAAGCTTTTACTTAGATTTCGCTTTTTCTACGATTTTTTTTCTCCCTAAATTGTACGAAATGGTATATCAGCAATGTAAATTTTGTATACTTTTTTTGGTGCTTACACGTATTCACAAATACAAGAGTTTTCTCTTTGTTTTTTATTTCTTCCTTTCTTTTTCTCACATCTATCTATCTATCTTTCTATCTTTCTATCTTGAAATTCACTTCCGGGATTTCACCTGGTTCGGAAGTGCTACATCTAACCGCTTCCGTATAGAAATCCTTGAGGAGCTTCAGAGAGGAAATACTTGGGGGAATCATACATGGATCTTCGACGTTCTTCTTCAGGTATTACGTGTGTAAGTAGGTGCGTTAGATGTATGTGCACGTGTGGAACATACCCTGACGTGTTGAGAACATGGAAGAAGTGAAAAAAGTATAGTGGTAGGTCATGTAGCAAAGCGATCCCCAAGTATCCGAGGATAGAAACTTTCTTTCCAAGGTAACGACGATAAAAGTATCGGCGTACTGGTATCGATACTGCCACATGTCGGAATCATGCCATCTTATTTTTTTTTTTTTCTGTTTTTCATTTTATCCATAATATCGATCTACGTAAATTCCGAGAAACAACTGTTCTTTAAGTATATTATATTATATTAATATTATTCGTCTTGTATCAGAAACATTTCATCTCAGATTTTAGAATTCAAAGCAACAATTTGTATTACTATTTGAAATAGCATAAAAAGCAACACACAAAAATATGAACAAATTAAATAGTAATTTTTTTATGAAAAAAAAAATATATATATATAAGTAGGAAAGTTTAAAGTAAACAATTCAGTGTTAGTAAATCAGTGTATTGAATTTTTATGGAAATCGGCAAATGATTTGGTTGGTACTTTCGTCCGATAGTGTACACTGTATATCCATTGTTTTTCTATTACGAATGAAAAGTTGAATATCAAACGAAAAATGTCATACTATTAGCAAATTAATTGTCTTTACAGACCCCGTACGTGTATTTGTAAACCTGTGTGTGTCTCTGTTTAGTAGGAGAACCAGACTAGAGTCAATGAGTATATAAACGTATATATAGCTAGACGGATAGTAAACAAAGAGGTTTATGGCCAGACATCGGCCTTGGTAAATACTCGATTCGTCGTAGACAATGAATATTTAACTATGCGAAATCGATCGAATGAAGCTTCGACGTGATCGATCAATCGATGGATCAAATTTACTTTTTGAAAAAGTAAATTTCGCGCGGATAATTCGATTCGACGAATGGAATCGAATAGAATGGGAAAAAAAGGGAGAATAAAAAAGGAAAGAGAATTTTCGATGAATTAAAACAAAATGGATCTTCGATTGAAAAAAAAAAAGAAAAAACTACTGTAGAATGAGATAGTAGAATGATTTTTCAATTTATTCGCCAAGTTACTACTATTTGACAAGTAGTTTGAAGAGGAGTCTAGTAATTTCCCTTCGACTTTCCAACCCTAAAGAATTTCCCCTCTCTTTCTGATCGTAAATTGAGAAAGGTTTCTTAAGAGGTTGAGTTAAGAAGTGAAAAAGAGAGAAAAAGAGAGAAAAAGAGAAAGAGAGAGAGAGAGAGAGATATAGAAACAGGGTGAGTAGTTTGAAGTCGTCGCAAGTGAATTCTCGTTGACTTCGTAATCAATGATTCGTAACCTTTTCACGGTGGATGGGTTTCCTTCGTGTTTGAATGAACGAGGACAGTGATGAATCGTAGTATTCGTAGTGTTGGTAGAACTGCTCATGCCAGTTACCGGCATGCATATGCGCAAGTAGTAGATTGAGTATTCAGTACGAGGAAAGCTTACTATACTCGCATGATTTACCGTTTTCCTCCTTTATCACCAGTTAAGGTTACAAAGTTAAAACCTTAACATCTACGACGATGACAGTAAGGTAAGATAATCTCTTATCTACCGTGAAAACAAAAAAGGAGGATTTCAACGATTTGTCGATTTTCTTAGTTTGAAAATAATGTTTCGAAAGAACTTTAGAACATTCCATTTGGTTGTCCTATCAACTCGTCCGGTTTCTGATAGAGGGTCTCCATTTCGAGATTACTTTGTTAACGAGCGAGTGCAGTTTGCTGGATATATAAGTATGTATATATATTCAGAATACTCGAGGAAGTTTCTTCTGGAGTAGCCTTTTAGCGAAGCAGTTTTTACGAAACCACCGCCGTAAAAGCACAGTCCGCCTTTCGTTAGAGACAAAAAGGAAAAGAAATAAAGAAGAGTAAAAAAAAAAAGAAATCATGACAGATAGAAAGAAAGGCATCGCACGATTGCATTCCTGAAGGTTATGAAGTATCATCTTGTATCTATGTATATATGTAGATATATTATGTTTATATGAGAGATACGTGGTTTGCTACATGCTTGTACCTATGTATATATTTTTCTATGATATTATATGCATATATTTTAACATAAAGGACTTTCGGAAAGGCAATATCGGTTCAGCGATATAAAGATGTAAGTTATTACGCGTATTTCATACTTGCGACAGGAATTATTGTCGAGAGGTACGTACCAAAGGGGGAAAAACGTTTCGTAGAGTAAAGAGAAGCTTTGGCAAGCTCGTAAATCTATCGAATATCAACCATTTTCTAGACTTTTCACTGATCCCTCACGTTTACGTCATCAATTCAATTCTCTTTTTTCTTTTTTTTTGTTGTTGTTGCTATTATTTTTTTAATTACAAGAAATCGAATGAAGGAATAAAATTGATTGGAGAATAGTTGATTAACGTTTCATCGATGTTCTTTTTCGTGATTTAAAATAGTCGAATCGAACGCGATGGATTTCGAAAAGAAACTTTTCCTGTTTATATTTCACTGAGGGAAAATATTTGTTTTTGAATAGAATATGAGCGTTATTTTTTGTTTGGTATAGATATGTACATATCTCTACATATTCCATCAAATTCACCATGGGAGAAACGTTATGGTTCAAGGAGTACATTTTCCTTCGTTTAAATTTTGCAACCTCGTAGAAATACCTAGAGTGAAATATTAAACTCGTTTAACTGTAACCGTAAAAATGTCACTAAGATTTTTCTTCTTTTGTTCGCTTTGTTTAGTTTTGATTTCGTTTGGAAACCTAACGTATTATATATTTGACGTTTGATCAGCCCTTTATATATATAAGCGAAAATCAAATAGAAATTAAACAAATTAATTACACTTACATTCTTACAAATAATACTAATTTTAACATATTTTTAATTATTTTTTTGTTATAATTATTTATCATTTAGTTAAATATTGCATAAATTGTATTATTTATCAGATTTAAGTATTATTTCTTTGTCGAGTCATGTAAACAAAAGAAAAATTCACGTCTAATATAAATTTCAAACGATAAGAAAATGATATCGGTAAACAGAGGAAGAAACAACGAGAGAAGAAAGAAATGTAATAAATGGAATAAGAGGAGACTTTAACTTCGTTGATATTAGATGCTGGAACGTGTTTTTTTAGTGTCAACATTGTTCCAACATGAGTTAGAAATTTTCGTATATCAATATTTAAAGAAGTAACATTAATCATCTTATTCCCTTTCTCTATCATCTCCTACCACCATCATTTTTTTTTCTATGTAAATAATATCTTGCAAACAACACTTTCATATTTCGCATTTCGTTTTCGAATTTTGACAAAGTTAAGATAATAAGATAGCGTAAAAATTACTTTTTCTCATTCGAAATCCATTATAGTATACTAATTTATATTTACGTTAGATAACAACAGGTTATTTTATAGCGAAACAAATTACAAATCTTTTTAATTCGTTGATTTTATTTGTTTGACTGAAACTCATTAGAGGATCGTTCGGTCGTATAAAATTAGTGAAGGTGACTTTAATTTAAACAAATTGACGTATCTGAGTGTGTGCGTGTGTGTATGTGTAGGAGAAAGAGAGACAGAAATAGAAAGGGAAAGAAAGGCAAATATACACAGACAGACATAGTTAATTTCGATAATGGAATCTCTCAGCGATTTGGAATATTTCGTCTGGCAAGTAGAGGTAGACAATCTACCCCGCAGTCACGAGACTTTAGAATAGAATGATATTAGACTTTCTGAGTGATTTTCTCGTACGCAAATAAAGATTAATTAAACGTAAGCGTAAGCTGTAGGTTTCTAAGAGCTCGAACTACTTTTGCTTGCACTTTCGCCCCATTAATTTCATCCTCATTCTTCTTTACAAATTATCAACTTGCTAATTTTATTTCCTTCCGCATTTGGATTTCAATCGTGGTTTGCGTCATTAATTCTATGACTAAATTTTATGTTTCTTTTTGTTCTCTCTCTCTCTCTCTCTTTCTCTCTCTTTTTTTCAATGGTCCATCTTTTTAATTTTGATTAAAACCAAAGAAATTTTTTGTAAGAGAAATTAATTGTAATCGTATGATTACCGTAGAAATGAACTTTTCGACGTTGRGAAAGGAAAGGAAAGAGAAAATAGTCAGAGTATTTCCGAGCAATTTAGTTTGAGTGAGTATAGCTCGAAGGGTACACGCAATCCTCGCGTTTACACCAATTTAGTTTCCAAGCGAATCGAGGATCCTACGTTTTTGCGACAAAGTTGAATATCGCGTGCGGAGCACTTCATCTCTATCTCGATTTTGTTCTCTTGTTGTTAGTTAGGTCTGTCTAATTTTCCTCAACTACCTTTTTATCTCTTTCATTTTTATATTTCTAATAGCCAAAAGCAAAGATGAAAACATTTCTTAATATTAATACTGCTAACTAACAAGGTTTCAATTGACAGATTACAATCGTATTTTTTTATGAGTCAAAACTCACCTGAGCAGTGACCATTCCTTCTCTTAATCTCCTTAGATCTGTATGACTCCAGGCGTTGCCAGACCAAGGACGGATGTCACTAAGATCATCAAACCTGAATCCTCGTAGCTGATTCTTTAGGAACTTGCGTATATTCCACGGTAGATCGTTGTGCCTTTAACAAAAACAACAAACACATGATCATTCAATTAAGTTAAACATTTTATTTTAACGTTAATTTTCTATTTTACGTCATTTTTCTTTAGAATAATACATTTAGAAGTAAAACAATAAGTTAAATATTTTATTCGTACTTTTTTGTTTTAATTTTATTTAAACTAATTATTATAGAATTTAAATTCAAATAAACGCATCGAATCTGATGAGATTCGACGAAGGAGAAAAGCCAGGAAAATTTCACTCTCTCTCTCTCTCCCTCTCTCTTATACGAGCACACACCCACACACACACACACACACACACACACACACACACTTGTAACATTATCAGTTAGAGTAAGTTTTAGTCGTTGCATTTCACGTTAAATTACTTTCTAGAAGGGTAGTTAGAAGTATCCTTTTGGAAAATATCTCCTTCTCTCTTTCTCTTACAATTACAAGAGACACAATTGCGATAGGTGCCATCGAAGAGAGAAACAATTTAAAGGTTACTACGATTATTTCGATCCTATTGTCGTTCTACCGTTAACGAGAACGATCTTAGAGTATCATCATGATCATGATCATCGTTGTCGTCATCATCATCATCATCATCATCATCATCATCATTACTATCGTCGTCATTATTGTTATCGTCGTCGTCATTATTATCATTGAGAGTGATTTTTCCTATTGTGTTGAGAGGAATCGATTTGTTACTTCTCTACAATTAGAGTTCCATTCTCTCCTCAATACATTTAATAGTCTATTTCTTTTCGCTTACTTAAGTATAATCGTTTTTTTTATCTCTATATGTTTATTTTAGTAATATATCTAGATATATACAAACTTGTATATAGATATAGATATATAAATAGACTTGTATATATAAGTCGCTAGTAATAAATTAATATTTTATGATTAATTTACATAATACATAATATTACATTGTAAACAATATATTACAAGTTATATTACAAATATTATAATATATTTAGATGGTTGTAAGGATATATAGATATACATATTAACAATTTATCGGCATGGTAAATTTTACTGACGTCAAATGGGTGAGTTTTTTTTAATGTTATTATTATTTAAAAAAATCTGAGAAAATTTATTAATACTCTTTAGGGTTTTAAAAATATTATCTATAAACTTATTTTGTTATTGAATAATTTCAATAGAAAAATAAAAATAATTATTCAAACATGGCAAGATCTAAAACGGTACCGATGTACAGTTAATATGTGTATTTGTATATAGATATATTATAGTATCGATAATATATGGAATACATGTGTATCATGTGGTCATGACGGTCGCATGAGTCTTGAAGTTTATGTCGTAGACACGGAGAATCCGTTATTCGCTTCGTGTAACCGCACGAAGCGCATTAGAGAAATTTCCTACGGAATACTTCGGGATTCCCGGGACGGATAATTTGAATAAACCTATGCGGAAGTAACATGCCGGAACTCCAAGTTCTCACCGTACGCTATTGGAGTAGGAAGATCTAATTGAGTGGAAGTATGCCGATGTGAAGTGGCATCAGCTAGGTAGGCGTCCTCCTCTCATCCTACCTCATCCTCATCGTTACCTTCTTCCTTCTCGTTCTAGTCCTTGTCAACGACGTACACGTCGTGATGCAACACGATTATATGGCTTCTATAATTATTTCTCTACGTTCCTCCAACGTCTTCTTGTTAGATGCTCTTCTTAACTCAAATCTGATTAATCATTCCTTGACTTTCCATGAATTTGATTCCTTAAGGTGTTACGTTCAAATTTGTTAATTTACATGCACGCAACGGTATATTTAATTTTATTTAGTAAACACTCGTTGGTTTATTAACAACATTTGTTTATGTTCTTTTTATGTTTTCCCAAATTTTTTTGTACGCTATATGTGTACTTGTATTATCTAACAAAAAATATTTGTTCTCTTGTTATTTTACGAGGTTTACCGTAGTATTAAGCGAAATATAAATCGCTTACGTTTCGCAAATGTTCATGTGTGCCTTTTTAAAGGTTGGACCGAGGTATCCCACAAACATTCTCTTTCATAACGAATTTTCGCGAAAACGGGTCTCTTTCTCTCTCTTTTTCTCTCTTTCTGCTGGTATGCGTACGCGAAACCTATGTACTACGTGCCGTTAGCCAAACAAATCTGACCGGATTCGGAGATGGATCTCTCGGCCGTTTACCGCTTAACCATACTACTCGCCGGTAGAATGCACTTTGTATGCGGTACGAGCGGAGTTTAACTTCGAGCAGAATTAGGTAACCAAACGAGCGAACGTGCTTCTCCTATACAACCCTCCCTACCTCCCTCCCACCCCCCTCTTCACCCCTAACCCCTACCCTTTACTCTCTACCCTTCTCCCTTTCCCCTCCTCATCTTATCCTTCTTGTACAGTTTCCGCCTTTAACTACTATCAAACGTTATCCGTTTATCGAACTAACCGTTCGATACATTTTCGTTTCCTATGATTACTCTTACCAAGTTTCTAACTAACTGGAACGAACTCATTTGTTCTTTTTTTTTTTCGAATAATTTATAAACCCTTTTATATATATCTATATCTTTTTTACTTTAACTTTTTACTAAATTTATATTGTAATAATCGTTTAAATCTTTTGTTTAAATTATTAATAGTAATCCTGTGAACTGTTTTTTTTTTACCAAATTTTATTTTTATTTGTTTGAGAATTATTCGATTATATAGAATTATTTATTAAATGGATACTTTTTATTTTATATTATTAATATTTAATTGAATTAATCTTTTTTTTTTTTTTTTTAAAGATTACATTTATTGGAATAAACAATAGACCGTTTCTAATTTAATTTTGAATTTAAATTATAATAATAATTATAATAATAGTAATAATGATCATTAGATGATTAACTGTTATTTTATTATTAAGATTATTTACATGAATTGTTTTTTTGAAAGAACAAAAATTAATAACAAGGATGATAAATACATATTCTTCTTTTATTAAAATCCTATCAATTAGATCTCATTTTATATCAATCTCGTTTCTCACCTTTCCATTAGATATTTTTCTCGACAAATCTTAGATGATCCCATTTCAATTGTCGTCACATTGAATCTCATAGTAGATTTTTTAACTTCTGCTCAATGTCAAGTATCCCCATCATTTTTTTCTCTCTTTCTCTCTTTCTCTTTTACAGACATGCGTTTAATTTGAAATAGCTATCGGACTACTTACTTACTTGCTCGCCAAATCCTCTTATCGTAGCTCGAGGATTTCTGTTTGCTAGTTTCTCTCACAAGTTCATGCAACCTGACTGTAACAATAAGTTAAGGGAACGAACGAGAATCAACGAGAATGAGAGAGAGAGAGAGAGAGGAGAGAACGAGAGAAAGAGAGGGGAAATACTGGTATAACTGTTTCGAGGATAAACGCGAAGTTTATGTTCGATCGTTTGTCGTCATCGTAAATTATTGTTGCTCAATGAACGAACGTTCATTGATTTGATTTGATTCGACCCGTAGGAAAATATTTTCCACAAATTTTCATTTTATTTAAGAGAATTAAATACTGATAATAAATTTAACACGAAATATAAAATGCGGAAATTATTTGATGGAAATATTTTGTTTTCAAAATGAAATCGTGGTCTAGCGAATAATACTCTTACAATACATCCTATTTAAAATAAATAACATACATATGCACACGTACACGCGATATGAAACCACATATAGGAGTTTATAATTTTGTGCATTAATTTGAAAATGAAATTGTATAGTTTCGTTTTTAAATCATTACTCGTTAAAAGTTTATTTTTGTTTAAACGATTATCGTAAAATAGTTAGGATTGATCGATCATCAATCTAATCGAAAATCTGTGAAATCTCATACGAATTTGAAATATACAAAAATCAACGATTGCTGATACGCATATACATACGTATGGAAGAAAAATGACCAATGTTATATATATATGTGCAGTTAGTTTCCAACGTGAAATATTTGAATAATTCTTAATAACCGTGACGTTTACACGAATTTTACGCGCTCTTTTGTACGTCGATATGACGTATGCACGAGGCCGCATATACGTACATTTTTTAATTGTACAAATTCATGCATGCACAAAATTATAAAAAGAAAAAACATAGAAGCAAGATTAAAAAAAAAAAAAAAAAGAAGAAAAAAAAACACTGAATTTATTTATTCATTTTTCTAGCCTTGCGATTTTTGTCACGATAACTAATGCAGTGTTTGTTGTGTTAATTTAATTGACTAATTCTTGATTGCAATTAGTATTATGTTTCTTTGGTTTGTAATTTAATATTGTACTACGTCAAGTAAAAAATTACAAAAATAGAAGAAAGATAAAAAAGAACATCTAATTTTTTAATCAATCAATTTATTTATATTTGTCGTCTGCTAAATTTTGGTCATCATGATTATGCAATTTGTAACATTTAACGTTTGTGGCTTTTCTTGTTTGTTTCTAGTTTATTCTTATTTCCTATTTTCTTTTTTATCATTTTCAGTGAGATAAAAGGATTTGAGATTTTTCTCCGGTTGGCCGTCATTTTCACGAAAGTCGTCATGCAACGATCGTTAACCATCGGCCGTTCGCATTTAGTAATGCATAAAAGTATTCAGTAGCATTTGGCCGCCGGCCAGGCTCGTGTTTGCAGCCATCGATAATATGAGACGTTCATAAAAATTCTCCTGCTTATTGGTTGCAGTCACGACAAGTCGATTCTTCTTTCATTTTCTTTTTCTTCTTTTTTCTTTTCTTTATTCTTACATACTTTCTTTCCTCTATTTCATTTTTTTTTTCTTTTCTTATTCCGCTTTAAGAATAACAAGCTAAATACTACTTGCCTAGTCAAATTTCATCCGGTATGAGAACACTGTCTAAAGGAAAAATTCCACTTCTAAACGCTCTTACGTGACCCTCTTTCTTTTTTTTTAACCAACACGAACTCTTAACATTGATAAAAAAAAAATATTATATAAATTT